TGTTCAGAGCTGTGAGCGGCCAGCTGCCCGAAGCCCTCCACATGATCAACATCGCTCTGGAGAACTGTCCGCGGGACGCTCGCCTCTACCTGTTCAGGTGAGCCCGGCACGGATGACTCACTCAGACAGAAATCACATCTCTCAGTTACAAGGCTGCTGCAAAGCAAAGACAAGTCAACACAATGTACAAGTTGACGTAATGGTGATAACCTGCATATATACATACATATACAGTATACACATATCATCTGTATATTTAGTGTGACCAACAGCAAACACAAACGACTGATTTGGAGCTAAAATGTATTTGATTACATTTATTTAAATTAAATGAAGATCAAATCTGTGTGTTTTCACTCTAATTCTCCGTCCGTCAGAGGGATTCTGTACCGCCGTCTGAAGGACTTCACAGCAGCCATCGAGGATCTGGTCCAGGCTGTGGAGCTGAGCGAGGAGGAGGAGGTCAGGGCTCAGGCGGAGGCCGGAGAACAGAAGGAGGAGAGTGGCTCCGTGGAGGAGGAGGTGCGGTTTCAGGTGGTTCTCACCTACAATGATTTTGCCGTCCAGTGCTTCAGCAGAGGCCTCTACGCCGAGGCCACTCTGCTGCTCCACAAGGCCGTCGAGCAGGAGAAGGGCCAGGCCGGCCTGTACCTGAACCGAGGAGGTGAGGCCCCGGACTCTCGGTCTGTCAGTGCGCATGTCTGTCCTTACTCCACACAGACACAATCATTTTGTTCAAGCCAGAGTGTGAGTGTGAGAATGTGAAAGAAAAACCTCCTGAACGTTTAACACTGAAGGAATCCAAACGGTAGAAGCTGTCTGCAATGAAAAGCAACAACTCCCATGATCCCTTGCTGCTCCACGATGTCACCAAACTCCGTCTTGTTTTGACAGAAATTTGACAGAAATAATGAACTGTTGACGATGAGCTTTCTTTCCCCGGGAGAGACAGAGATCATCAGAAGCATCTGTTCTGGATCATAACAGGAATTCATTGATTCATTGAAGCTGTGTGTCAGACTGTTTCTTTAAGCAGGGCGAGTGGTGTTTCGCTCTGGCCGACTACCAGCAGGCAGAGGAGATGATGCGTCCCGACGACCCGGCCGTCCGGCTCCGCCTCGCCATCCTCCACAACACGCTGGGCTCCCTCTGCTTCCAGGACGGGTCAGAACCGCCAGAGTTCATGCCCACATTCACACAGAGGAACCGCTCCTCAGATCTGGTCTAGATGCTATATATGTGTGTGTGTGTGTGTGTGTGTGTGTGCAGGTGTTTCCAGGAGGCAGCTGACATGTTTTCTCTGGCCGTCCAGTACGACCCGGCAGCCGGTCGCTACTACGAGAGCAGATCCAAGGCCTTCCGGAAGCTCCTGGACCTAGAGGGAGCCAGACGGGACTTCATCTGCATGCTGATCCTGGATCCCACCAACGAGGAGGTCAGAGCTCCAGATCTCCTGGCATTATGAACTTTTTTAAGACATTTTTTGGTCTGCTACTGGTTCCCAACGTGGGGGTCCCGACCCTCACTAGGAGTTTCACAGGGGGTCGCAAGGCCTTCTTGATATTTTAGGGAAGTAAGACAACTTTTTGTTTTTGTTCTTAAATATGCAGTTTGATTATATCTCTTCATTCTATTCATTTCTGTGAAGAAAACGAAATACAACTGTAATCAAATTAAAACTGTGATATTCATATTTTGCTGAACAGCCTTGTCATTAGAAAAGTATGTAAAGTAGTAAACTGTGTGTGTGTGTGTGTGTGTGTGTGTGTGTGTGTGTGTGTGTGTGTGT